TCAACTTCAATGGTTAAAACGACGGTCGATGACTCAAGGCCGTTTTTCATAGAAACCATTGTTCAGCTTTAAGCCACTCTCTTCGTGCTCATCTTCGACACTATAACAGAGGACCTGCAGAGATCAACACCATGATCAATATTGTATGCAGAGATATCGTGATTTATGAATAAATGGAAATGATAGCAGCACAGCCGACCGGTGTGTGGGCAGTTAGGTTGTAATAATATAATCTTGCGTTTGCTCTTCTAAGACTTCACATAAGGTCGAAAAGTTTAACTCTCTTTGGTCTACAATACATCAAGGCATAGGTTTCCATTACGATATCCTAGGATTCAGAAGAGGTGGTTAAAATGGAGAATTAAATCGATGCACTTTGTGACAGGAAGATGCCACCATGGCTTATAGCAAAGCCTAGTGTTGTTAAACGGCTCGTTTTGAGCTGATTTTTAAAAACGGCTAACTCAATATTTCATCCAGAAGAATGTTACGCAAGCCTGAAGATTTTGTTCATAGAAGGAACAAAGATTTAAAAATATATTATTGAAATCTCGGAGGCTTAGGCAATATTTTTCTGGCTAAAATATTGAGTCAGCCGTTTTAAAAAATCGGCTCAAAATGAGCCATTTAACAACACTAGCAAAGCCTGTCCAACTATCGTTAGACCGATCTTGCTATATGGATGTGAAACTTAGATATTGCATTCCGATAAGAAGATGCACCGAAATGCGAATCATCAGGTGGAACCTACCCCGCTGCATCGTATGATGACCAATGATAGTTTAAGAAAGAAAATGAAAGTAGCTACTAATTCAATTCTCCCTATATAGTGCATTTGTCATGTATTACATGATTCTTAGGGAACATGCTATTGGATCTATGATTATATTGGAAAAACTCTTAAAGCAGCATTTTAAATCTTGGATTTAACTCATATTACATTTTTAAACAATAATATCTCTTCAAATTTTTAATATGTAATTTTATATTCTTAATTTCCAGAGTTGGGCAGGTCCTCCAGGAAAAGAATCTAGATACAGATACAGATTCTTTATAAAATAATGAATCTTAGATACAGATACTAGTATCTTTTTCAAAATATCAAAAAGATACAAGATTAAAGATACTTGTATCTTTTACTAAATTAGAGTATCTTAAATACAAGATACTTTTAAATTATAAATACCAATTAAATTAGAATAGTTTATAAAATACAGTTTTTATTATTTATTTGTGAAGAACATAGCATACACATATAAGAATGAATATTTGCAATAATTAATAAAATATTTATTAATAAATTAATTATAATAACCAGGGATTTTAATATTAGTTTTTGCCCATTAATAGCTTAAACAGGGAAGGGAGAGTAGTATATTTAATGGGAGTTGAAAATTTGCAAATAAGAAAAAAAATTAAATCAAATGATTTATTAGAATGTGCAGGTTATTTTCTGTGTTGTTTTAAATATAGCTTATCTTTAATAAGTATTTATCATTACTTATTTGTGATTTTTATGTATTATTTAAATTAGTTTATTTTCTAATATGACTTATTAATTCTTGCGTTTGTAATATTATATATATAAATATCATTTAAATCTCTTTTCAAATTTATTTTATATATTTCTTGCAAAATCATTAATTATATATAAAAAATATCATAATAATATACAACTTTATATTATAATTATTATTAAAAAAATATACATAAAAATGGATTTCGATTTTATTTATAAAAATAAATGATTTTATATATAATTTTTTTTTAAATTTTATAACATTTTATTTTTGTTAAAGAAGCCATTTTATATCGGATCAAATTTTATAATATTGGCGGATAACCGATATTTTAAAATGGGTGAAACCGATCCGATCCGATAAAAAAATCGGCACATCCCTAATATATTTTATATATAATTATTTTAGCGAGTTCTTATTAGAGAAAATATTTAAGCTACAATTGATATATAAAAATATTAGATAATTTTAAAAGACTCTTAATAAAATAATTATAATAAGGTAGAATTTAACTTTATTAGTTACTTTTATTTATTTATGATATAAGTAAAATTACATTACAGTATTTATTTACAAAATTTAATCAATTTAAAATGCATTAAAGAAAATTATTATGTTTAATAATTAATTAATAAAATTCTGCCATATTGTTATTTTTTTTTGCGCATTCTGTTTATAAAGGAGTGCGAGATTCTCTTCAGAATCTGTTTTTAGTGAAGCTGGTCATATTGACAGTTATTATCGCTGCAAGCTGACCTCTGATAAATTGGAAATATTGGTATTTCTAAAAAGAAATCTTCGTTAATATTTATTTCAAATTTCATAATATAATTGTTTATTTACTTATTATGTATATAGATTAATGTTATTATTTATTATATAAAAGTGATTTAATATTAAAAATATTTTATATACTTTAAGAATTGCAATTTAATTGAATATAAACTATAACTCATCATTATAATATATTTAAATGACATAAGTTATGGTATAGTTAAATTATAGATGTTATACTAATAAAGTATATTAAAAATTAAAAGTATTGGTGTCTTTAGAGAATACAAAATATCGGATCGGTAATCGGCCGATATCAATTTAATATCGGGAATATCGGATCGGCCTCCAAAAAGTGGTATCGACACACCCCTAAAAAATATATATCCAAAATGATTTTAATTTGTAATCAACCATCTTCTATAAAAATTTTTAATAACAATTATCTAAGAGGGACTTAAGTATAGGTATTATTATGTTGATAATAATAAAATAAAAATATTACTTTAATATGTTTAACAAAGTTTGTAAAGGAGTTTGTTGAACCTTTCATAACTTTTTTACTTGTGCAATTTTGACATTCAGCTTGTACCTTGTTCTTTTTCACATGAATTACTTTATAAAATTTTCCATCTAGAATTTTAAGATTCGGATTTGATTCAGGAGAACCCATCTCCATAATTTCATCTTCACTACTATGATTGATTGTTAAACATTTTACAAATTAAAAAATATTACTTATAAAATATATCCTTCTCTTATTTAGTTTTGGTGTTGTTATTTTAATCTATCTATCTTTGTGACCTATAACATTTCCAACTAATTTTGGTTATCAATATATTTAAAATATAGCGGGAAAAAATAACGAAAATAATACAAGATTTCACGAAGAAAATAAAGTTACATTGTGTGATAAATGTTTTAAACAAGAATATTAAAAAGAATCTGTATCTGTATCTCTTTAAAGAAAATGAAAAAGATACAAGATTCTTTTCAAAATAAAGGATCTTAGATACAGATACTAGTATCTTATTAAAAATGTCTATCTTATTAAAAATGTCAATAAGATACTGATTACAAGATACAAAAGGATCTTGTATCTTGGATCTTAGATACAAGTATTCGCGGTATTGCTTAACTCTGTTAATTTCTCATATGCTGCTTCCGAAAGTATATTCAGTTTAATGAATTCTCCATGGTAAAAGGTGCCCACCTTTGTCAATATAGTTATTGGAAGCTGAATTAATTATCAACCAACCCAAGATCTGAACGGGGGAGATTTTGCTATATATATCAAAAAACAATTACTAAAGCAAAGTCATCCTGGTTTATGTATATATATTATAATGTTAAATTGCTAGCTATTTTAACATTTTTTCGAATAAAATGATAGTATATTCGTTAATTTATTTGTCCCGGAAAATCCCACATTATTTTTTCAAACTATAATTGTCCCACAAAGTCATTTTGAAAAAATGGCAATCCTAATAGTTAATGGTATAATCACTTAGATACCTGGATGACCCGTAAATAATATCAGACCCCTTAGGGCTATGGAGCTGTTATAAGTATCTATTTGATTTTACGGTTTTTTAAACCTGATGTGGACTAGGGCTAAATAATATAGTTTTCTTTTGGAATAATTTATAATGGATTTAGTATTAGGAAACATATCGTTGGTCTTAATGCAAACCCGCCTTTTTAAAACTACAGGAAAAACGTTAATATTGATAAACTCTAAGAAAATAAGCTATTTAAATAAAAACTTTATATTTTATAATATAAATAATCATTCTTAAAATTATAATAATGGTTGTGAAGGAAATACAATTTTTGCCAAAATTTTAAAACAAGGATAAATTGGAAGTGTTAAATATTGATGGTATTTCTATTATATTATGTTACGACCTTTTAAGATATGATGGGAAACATAATATTAAACACCTATGAATGCAAAATAAAACCATTTTAGAAATTTTGCCAGTTGGGTGGTTTTGTAATGAGACTCACACTATATTAGAAATTGGAGTAAATAATATAAATGGTTTACTGAATTAATCAAAATTAGGCACGGGCTATTGCCTGGTGTTTAGCCATCGGTATATAGTTATTATATCATTACTTTATTGTCATAAAAAATTTTAATGGAAAATATTTTCATGTCATTAGATACTTATAACTTTGATTCGTTAATAATGTTCCTGAAAATGCATTCGCATTTATATATTCGTGGTAATATTTTTGCATATAATGCATTCGAAAGCCGATTTAAGAAATCTTGAATTAGATTCTGATTAGTGTGTCGATTTTATTTACATTCGAAATGATCCTAAATAGAAAACTGGGTTAGAAAATTTAAACAATAGCGCCCATTTCAGATTTCGAATGCGAAGCCATTAAGCTGAGTCACCAATTTTAAAATACTCGAAATTTATTAGTTTCTGTTTTATTTAAATCCCAGACTTCTCTTTCATATAATGACAAATTGAAGTTTAATATATATATATATATAGATAGGTAAATATCGGCATTTCATTAGATCACCACAGTTTAAATACTTATAGAAAACAAACGTATTCTTTATTATACCAATTTCAGATAATGTTAATCAGGTGGCATGGTGTTTTTATGGCTCTAATATAAAATTGATCGAAGCGGAGCATCAACGTAAATATCCTTTTTATATGTTTTATTTTTCGTTGCAAGATTTCCAAAGTTCTGTATCGGAATTATAACACGTGATAGTATACGGCAAGCTCTAAAATTCGGTATAACGGCCAATCAAATCATTAACTACCTCAAAGTTCATGCCCATCCTATTACCCTCAAAAATGTTAATTTTATAAATTTGTTTTTTTAAACCGACTTAATATAATTATACTTATATCAATCCCTTTAACATCTACTTTGTAAATAATAGTTTTTGATGGGGAATATACTTATTTTTAATACCGGGTTTACCGGCCTATATTAACTTGATATCAAATTAGCCCTTAAAAAGTTATCGGTAATATTCTAGCTTCTAATTACTTACTTTAGGACAAATTATTTTGACAAAAATTTATGAGGTAATATATGTTATCGTTAGAACAAAAAGTAAGTTAAAACTATTATCAGATATATTTTTTACCCAAAATAACTATTTTATATCTTTCGGATATTAAATAATTAGTAGTTTTTTTTAAAAGTTACTTTTGAAAATGACTAGTTACAAGTTATATCTTCAAAAATTTAACTGTTATTAGTTATATTTTTTAAGAATAGCTTGTAACTCATTGTTATTTAAAAGTAACAAGTTACATTGCAAGGTAACTCATCATTTTCAACATATTTTCTTATTACACAAGATAATTTTGTCAAAGGAATTTTAATGAAAATACAATATAAATAATGAAAATATGCACTGAAAGAAAATTAGAGCAGAACTAGAACCCCCGGGCCAAATTTAAGAACCAGAAGCTTAAACTCTCTTAAAGTTTATAGAAATTGGAACCTATTTTGAAATTTACGGATTTTTACGAAAGTGCAAGTTATATTTATTGTTTAAAAGTTGGGATTCACAGAATTTATTTATTTGTTGCAAAACATTTCCATATATTTCTAACAACTTTCTTATCAAATTGTATAACTTGTCTGTAATTATTGTAAAAATAACATTGATAGTAAGTTAAACAATTTTGTTACAAATATATAGAAATGTTTTATAACAAATCATATTATTACTGTATTCATACCCGGGACCACTCTGAGAAAAATATGCAACAAATTTCCTTTTTTATGGGGAAAAAAAATAATGTTTAAGACTAAGAGGCTTGTTCTTTTTTCTCAAAAAAATACGCCTCCCTAAATAAACATTCTATAGGTTGCTCGATGTAAGCACGACAATATATTTAATCAACAATAATTTTAAATTACGGAAATATATATAAAGATATTTTTAATTCTGATATAAGACAGGGAATTTGAAAAGGTACTATTTATTATAAAATAAGTTTATTGAGATACATATTAATACTTAACATACTTTAAGAGGTAACTTGAAAGGCGTTACACTCCCAAAAACGTAACTAGTTACGTTTCAATATAACTAGTTATGGTTACTTTAACATCACTACGAATAATCAAAAACTCACAATTTGAATATTTTTGATACTCAAAAGATTATTAAATTCAATGATTGAATTAGGGGAAAAATTAAAAATCTAAATGTTAAACTGGTCTTTTTATGTTCGATTTACAATTAGTATTTTTTTTATTTCTTAATTTAAAACATTTTAAGGCTAATATTTATTTTTTAATCACCAAATGATATTACTCTTTTATCAATTATATTTCATTAAAATGTTTTTAAACGATAAAAAAAAAGCTCTTTGTATAAAAATATTAATATCAACCACGTTCGGCTGATCCCCTTCAATTTTTAAAAAATTTGGCAAGCAAAAGTTAATGTTATTAAGAAATTGTCAAAATTTAAGCCTCCTAACATTTATATTTTTGGAGATATCAGAGTTCATAGTGTCAAAAATGACGTTTTTTTTACCATTATCTGCCTTTATTCAACTAACATACCTTAAATACTACACAATTGTAATAACAAATTTAAGATTATACTTTTAGATAAAAAAAAATTTTCTTTGATTCCCAATTTCCGGTCATTTTATTTTATATATAAGAATTAAAATTGATTAGAAAAGTGTGTAAATATTTCCTCAAAAGGGGGCATCTTTGTATATATTCAGTTTTCAATCGTTTTCTTAACCAATTTGATATAATTTAAAGGATGCATCTTATAATTGAAGATAACAATTAACGAGGTTTCAATCAATAAAGAAATTCAATTTAAAATATTTCCCATATAACATAGATTTAACAGGGATCCTAACCGATATCCGTTATTTATAACGGTTCAGTTTGGTTACGGTTCAGTATGTAAAAAATTATAATGGTTACGTTTTGGTTACGGTTCTTAAGAAAAAATTTATAAAGACTCTGTTCGGTATCATCTAATTATAAAGGTTTATAATGGTTCATAACGGTTAGAAATTTTTTTTTATTGAAGCAACATATCGTCTAATTTATTTTTATTAGTATCTATGAATTATATATAAAAAAAATATATAAGATTCAAAATAACTCATCTTTAAATATATTATTTGAATGCATAAGTAATATATTTTCTAATATAAATGGATTCATATTTGTTCGTGTGGCGATAATTCAAATTTTAACATAAAGGTCCTTTCTACAGAAACTTGTGTTGTGGGAACCGCCAGTACTATAAGAGCAATTTTATATAATTCTGAATATTCAAATTTTTTTGATTCCTAAAATATAAATACTAAACCAATTTGAACCGGTTTAAATCTGTTTAACCTTTTTTTTTATAAGGGTTCTTTTTACTTCTTTAAATAATTATTATATCGGTTCGGTTACGGTTCAGATATTTATAATGGTTTAACGGTTCCATTACGGTTCACTCCGGGTTCCTGAATTAATATTAACAAAATATCTACAATCCGGTTTAGAGTTCTTGAAATTATTGATATCTTGTATCGTAACACGTCAATACCGCGAAACTTTTACCGCAAAATGTATTATCGCGAATGCATTATCGCGAATGTCGATTATCGCGAAAAGATATTATAGCGAATGCATTACCGCGAATGCATTACCGCGAATGCATTATAGCGAATGTATCATAGCGAATATATTAGCGCGAATGCATTATAGCGAATGCATTACCTCGAAAATATTATAGCGAATGCATTACAGCGAATGTAATACCGCGAATGCATCATAGCGAATATATTAGCGCGAATGCATTACCGCGAAAACATTATAGCGAATGCATTACAGCAAATGTAATACCGCGAATGCATTATCGCGAATGCATCAGAATGTATTATAGCGAATATATTAGCGCGAATGCATTACCGCGAAAACATTATAGCGAATGCATTACAGCGAATGTATTATCGCGAATGTATCATAGCGAATGTATTAGAGCGAATACATTAAAGCGAATGCATTATCGCGAATGCATCATAGCGAATGCAATATCGCGAATGCATTACAACTAACATTATCACAATGCAATAGTGAAAATAGCAAATGCATTACAGCAAATGTAATACCGCGAATGCATTATCGGGAATGCATCATAGCGAATGTATTATAGCGAATATATTAGCGCGAATGCATTATAGCGAATGCATTACCGCGAAAACATTATAGCGAGTGCATTACAGCGAATGTATTATCGCGAATGTATCATAGCGAATGTATTAGAGCGAATACATTACAGCGAATGCATCATAGCGAATGCAATATCGCGAATGCATTACAACTAACATTATCACAATGCAATAGTGATTTATATTTGACAAAATTATATTTAACCCATTTATTAAGTTCCAAAAAACCAGAGAACCAGCTTAATTGTCTATATTTATTTAAAGTAGCGTTTTAAAATTATTTACCTCTAAAACACGTCACTTGTTATTTATGAAATTCGTATTTTATTAAAAAATATGTATACTCAATTTTTTTAACGATTAGATTAAGTCGTTTTTTACAAAAGACCCTATTAATAAATATTTTAATATTTTATATTTTAAGATTGATTCTAGTAAAAGTTAATTTTTGCCCCAACAAGCCCCAAACCCCAGGCTTGTAGATTATATTGGTTTATTAAGTCTCCTATAGGATAATTGTTATTATCAATAATACACCATTTGTATATAAATAATTCATAAAAAATTTCAAAATGTGATATTTTATTTTAAAAAATGTTTAAGTTTTAATGAATTTTTTAATTTTTTTCTAATTCTTTTGATTATCAACCACCAGAAAACGTGAAAGTTAAAGGGAAAAAAATAGAATTTAAAGCTATAATAGCCAATGAATACTTATTATATCATATTTTTAAGCATAATATAATTAATTCGACCTAATCCTACTAGCCCCTAGTTACTGATATGATTAACCCTTTCCACGCTAAAAAAATATGTTGATAATTTTTAAAATTTTTTAAATAAGATTAGATGAAGGGGAACATTGGATTGAGACCTCTATCTTATTAAATCTTTTGTAATCGTCTAAATTATTAATTTTATAGCTTTAAAACATAAAATCTTATCTTTTTTAAATTTAAACATTGTTAAATTTAAAAATAATAAATGCCAACTCCTGTTTCAAATATAAATCTTAAAATGATAAAAAATATATTTAATTATATATTTTGGTGGTTTCAATAGAGATGATATGTGAATTTAGTTCAAATTTAATATTTTGTAAGTTATTTTCAAATCATATTATTCTGCCTGAAAGGGAATGCCTACAATAAATATTTTTAAACACTATGATTATGAAACTTTCTGAAATGGGAAAAGAAAATTTTTTAATTTCATATTCTGTCTATTTAATTATTTCTAAATCACTGTGCAAATTGGTTTATTATTCATGATACGGTTTAAAACAATTTCAACTTTAAGAGAGACAGAAGGCCACAAATCCATATTTTTATGCCGTTTAATATTATAGTGAAAAATATTTTAATTATGCTTTAATATTATTTACTTATCTTAAATTCTGTATAAAACAATTTATAAAATACAGAGAAAGTATTCAAAATAACGAAATTTGAATATTTAGGGCAGGGCTTTAAATAATCAGAGCTAAAAAATGCAGACCGAAGAACACAGGTATATTAATTTACTACATTTATATTATTTATTTTATTACTAATTATGACATTGAAATATGTTAAATAATTTTGTCTGTACTGTAAAAAATAGCTAAATATTAATAAAAGTATAATTTTTTTTGGCATTG